AATTAGAAAGGGGCAGAAAAACAATAGATTACTGTAGATAGAAAGGACTTCTTGACCATAGTAGAGGGAAGGATTGAACATGATGCTTTTGTACACAAACGTTAGGCTGGAATTAGTGTATAGCTACGGTCTATGTTGTATGTAAATTTTCAATTCGCATCCCTGTTGCGCTGAATCTTCTGAAGCAGGAGTATCATATGGATTTACTTATTAGTTCTCCGATATCGTCTCATTTTTTCCGCCTACATCCCCGTTCGAGACCAATTGTTCGTAATTCCCTAACGATGAAGTGCCTTCCTAGTGCACGCGGACACCAGATACAATTTCTTCAGAAGAGTTGTATACTGGTGATAAGAATTAAAGAGACGGTGTAAAAGCTCCACTGCATAGATCAAGCCTTGTCCAGGACCGATAATTCCATGTAAACTACCCTTGGTCTTGAAGAAGCTCGATAAATAATCCGACATCCAGTGATGTCGAGTAGAGAAAGTATCTGCTGAACATCATTTAAAAGTAAAAATCAAGCTATCTATGACGATTGATAAAACACCAAAATAAATATTTCTGTAAATTGCCGATAATGATACCTAACTCACTGGTTTTACTGAACACCACAAGCTGAAGGCGCTAGGTCAGGGGTCCACACCAGATCGCGAGTGGGTACGTTGTTCTATCTCTCGTAACAACCACTTAATTCAACTTATAAGCACCACGAAGAATCGGCCATTGTTCAAACATATTTTTACAATCTTATGTTCCTGACTTCCTGTTTAACTGTCTTTGAGATCTGCGAATGACAGCAATGTCAAACTCTGTTTGTCGTGACATTTCTAGTTGAGGTTTATCCTAGTGGTTTATAGTCAGTTACATGCATTCAGTTTCTTCGGTAACTTCGCATTATATCTCTATATTTCAAGGAGATTATCACCCTCTAGAAGTCACTGTACTATCAGGATGTAAAGTACAAAAAAGATAAGGGAAATATGGCCATGATGCATAAAACTAGCTCGCAGTCCCCGTCATTGCACCAAATCTGCTGTACGACTCGCACATCTAAAAGCTTTTTTTGAGATATATGACTGAAGAATGTGGTGCCAGTAAAGTGCCACTTGGCCCGGCAGTCGAGTTACTTAATGTCAAAAAGTTTATCGATCCTCTTAAAGTTCAACGACAACCAACGCACATCAATCAGTCGCAAACTATGGACTAGCCCATCCGGTGATGCCTTTACGACGAAAGGGTGGTGCACAATGGATGCTGATACCGATTCATGACCTCGAAGTTAACTGGTTCGTCACGCCATTCTTGTCTAACTAGAGTATGACCCCATCGTTCAACACTGATCGTCCACGTTAGTGATCTACAATCATTTGGATGAAGATTTTCCTGCCTAGAATCTGTAAGATTTGGAGCTCTTAACTGGAAGTGATGTTGACGATTTTGTTCCCGCCATTTAACTGCAAATTAATGGAATCCTAATAATGGTAATGAAACAACGGTCCTATTTAATTCATGTGACTGTAACTTCCAAAATATAGCAGTATGCAGTAAGAAATGACTATTAAGGTCAGTTTAGATACGAGTTGTCCTCTAGTCAAAACCCAAAACAAGGTGACTGGGTAAATGATGGTCCTAAACAATTATAACCAACCAGTTATTCAAACAATAATTGTTCATTCAGTAGTTAAATCAAGTGAAAAAAATAAATATCCAGGTTATTTAAAAGGTTATACCTAACATTTTTATAACATAGAGTGCTCATAGTTTTGTAAGGGTGCCTTAATTCACAACCAAAAATACACAACTCTAGTTATTTCAAGCAACACAAAAAGAGGATAGAATTTATATGGAGGCCGCCGTACTTAGATATCAAATAAAGTAACGTATTTGGAATTCAGGAAAGACATTAAAATTCGGTGAAACATATGAAAACAAAACTAGAATATAATATAAATGGTACTATCTCCACTGGTATCAAACGATCAACGAAATATACATCTGAATGAACCAAGAACATATTCAACAGCGTGTAAGTGGAGGGATTTTTATCCACAAACTTTTGAAAAGAATCTTACTTAACCTCCGTCCGGAAGTTCAATCAACAATAAATTAGATATAGAAGTTGGATACAAACGTATATTTCAAGCACTTGGTAATGTAGTTGAGACAAAGAGAAATGGATGGGAATTTGAGTAGCAAATACTACAAACTCCATGAATAGTATGTATGTACTCATTTATAAGTATGAGGGATGTGAAAGAAAGTTTATAAACACATGCGTGCGATCATACAATTATGCTCAATATCATCTTCACAAATGATAGTGATTGGAAAGTTTAGAATAATTCATCCGGTCAAAGATTAGAATAAGTCACCATAGCGTGTAGCAGCAATAATTGCTACAACGTCACTCCTCAATCAGTCTTTCGAAGAATGCCTTAACATTTCCCTCCGTTTCGTAGGTATCGAAAGCGATTACTCAAGCTGTCATTCCAAAATCACACCCTTCAGTATGACTACTTATATCCTTCACATTCTTAAGTACCAAGGATAAAAATACAGCTTTCTGTAACCGAAATCTAGTTTTTATCACGAAGATTAAGGACTTAAAGGACAATACTTATTATAGCCACCTAGTAAATTTATCATTTGAAGTTTGAATACACTGTACATAGCGCTACTTAAACGCGAGGTCAACATCCAAGAGTGCGACATGGCTAAGAGCAAGAACCATACGAGTCATAATCAAAGTAAGATGTACTACTGGTCACTTCATTTGTATGTGCAGATCGAAAGCAACACCGTAACGGTATCCATAAACCAAAAAAACAGCGATATCCGTCACTTAAAGGCGTAAGTTCGTCATTTTAATACATCAGTCCCATAGGTTGACCCTAAATTCCTAAGGAATATGAGGTTTGCCAAAAAGCACAATAAACGCGGGAATAAAAACCTCCAACGTGCAGTTAGTCCTACAGTAACAGAATCTAAATGATCTTAATGAGTGTAAAGGTGGAATAAATTCAGACGATGTAATGCACGTCTTCTTGTTGTAACCTAAGAAGTACGTAATCTATGTACTTGAGGATTTTCGCCGTGTTAGTTCCATCGAATTTTTAGGATTTAATTGACGATCCCTACGTTACTCAACAGCACCTTCTGCCGAATACTGTATGCTTCCGATTCCGGTGAAGCTTCGTAGTTGTATGTGGCTTTCTGTTTATAATATGCTGAACGGAACCGAAGTCTAGGTTTTGCGTCTGAAATGTCAAGTTTGTTACATCAGTGTTTCAGTTCAAGATACGACTTATATTTTCACACCCCGAGCTCAAATAGGTCGTCTTTTGTGTATAGTGTTTGGGCACGTGCATCGGTGTTGTTGAGAGTATTTATTGACTAGGTCCCTTTTCAAGATAGTCATAAAGCATAATTAACGCTGATATAGATTGAATAAAACCATCTATTGCTTCATGTTCCTAGTGGCGTCACGGAAATATGAATGGCAGAGATTCTGACTAGTCGCATTCCTGGTTACATGCAATATTTGCAACTGAACCATCCAAATATTAACGTAATCAGTTGAAGGCGTCTGCCGATAACCATGGGGTGTCCTAGATGACAGTTGTGTCTGGATATATACTCACTAAATTTTTAACATCTCTACGTGTGTTAGTATACATTGGTAAGTGTGAGTACGAAGCTCAAGTCTCTATGTCAATATATTTGGGACTACATGTCACTAAGTTGTTATCCTTTGGATATTCTCGTCGAGATAAGTCACATTCCCAAACAATATGTGTACTGGAGGCCATGGGTTTCTGCTCAAAGATTTCTAGTATTCCTACGGACGTGTGTATTAAGAATTGTTTGCGCTGATGATTTCCACGCAATCGACGAACGTCTTGTAATTTTGTCGAACAGAAAGGAACGACAAGCTGACATATCACACTATGTATCGCAGTTATATGTAGTCAACCAATTTCGTGGACAATAGCCGTAGGCTCAACAGAATATGAGAATACAGTCAATTAAGAATCACTATAGGTAGACTGTCATAGTCCTACGTTTCCTTCATAGGTTATTGGCATCCGCAAACCCAGAGAGTGCGGATGGGTTATTATGAGGTATTGGCTTTCCCAGTTGTATTGAAGGAAAACTTCTTGAAACCGAACTCACTCTCTTACTGAGTGTTATAACATTATTCATGGTGCTTCTCTTCAGGTGAGTCAAGAAAATTTCCGTTAAGACATGTGTCTATTGTCGCTGTGGGGTGTATATCAATGTCTCCGTAGTGTTGTATAAATGAAAGACTCATGGGCCAGTTACACTTTTTAATGTTTATCATTCGGGTTATAGTAAAGCGTTACTTTACTAACAAGAGTCCCGTGGCGATAATTCCGAAGTCGATTTCAAGAATGTCAGTGGCGGGATATTTTAGGCTATCGTTATGAGAATGAATGATCAAACTACTGCTGCTTTTTGGATGGTGCACATTATAAAAGGACTGGGTATAACACGGAAATTTCCTAGGAAGCAATGGCGTTCAATATTCTATTGAAGTGCTGGGGATAATTGTCTCTTGCTGAATTAGGTTTTAGGCAGAGTCGTGACGTTAATTATGCTAACCACAAAGGCAAGTTAATGGGGATAAGTGTTACGGTCAGATCCAATTTTTTCAATGTATTATCGTGATTGTGATATCAGACTGTTCCTATTGGGGAATACCTAACGCAGTGGTTTTTATCCGACTGCTTTCATTGAACTATGGGTCTAATTTAGCCCCAACTTAGTAGCTTCAAGATTATAAGAGTAAATGGTTCATAGCTCCATATTTGGGACCTTAAGAGAAACTAATAACTATGGTCATGGCACTTATTATATAGTGAATTAATTGAACAGCTATCGACAAAGCTGTTGCTTATCTAAGAAAGTACTTGCATATGCAAACAAAAGTTTCGAAAACTAAGTTAGTGACAGATGAGACGAGTGGCTTTTATTAACGTGTATATGTTGCTTTATTAAATCAAAATCAACCAGAAACCTTTGGTTATGGACGTACGTTAACAACGTTCCAGGGTTAGCAGCCATTAACTAACAGAATCTGTAGTTATATCGAGGCTATAGATCTTAAATTCGACTTGGTAGCGAGAGTGGTGCGGAAAATATTTTATAGCAGTTCCTTGCTGCATTGTATATAGATCCTAAATGTCAGCAATTCAGTAGTCAAGTAGTGGACGGGTGACACTGCTCATACTTGTCCAGGATAACTCTCCAACAAAGGACAAAACCAACCAGACTATTTGTACCATCAATAAATGTTGTAAGTATTTAACAAAGAAATTTATAATCCTGCCACAGTTACATTGTTAGAAATCCTAACGATGTAGAAGCAAGTTTTGTTCAAGATAAAACCTTTAGCAAACAATCTATGTATTCGCGACGTTCTTCATCAGCTGGGTCATTTATTTTGCGAAGCTCGTCTAAGTGCCGTTGTAGCCAATTAGAAAATGATTTGTACGATTCTTCGGACTGTATATTTGTAGTATAACTTGAGTGACTGCCTAGTGGACGGAGGAGAAATGATAAAGCAGCCAGTAGGTGCTCCTGTGGATCGTCTAGGAGATATAATAGATCTATCACTTTGTGTACGATGGACGAATATTCAGATGCTGAAACATGAATGTATTTCTTTGATAAGTACAACAAAAAAGAAAAGTATCTGAATAGAAACTGGAAAATGCGAAATACTACTGAAATGTGATAAGAAGAATAGAAGTAACTAATTTATCTAGACGTAGATTTTATTAAAAGAATTGACGCGTAAGGAATCGGTTTGGGTACCAAATGGAACATGCCAATTCTTCTCTGTGATCATTTAGAACCTGAGGACTTTAGAATATGCTTTCTTCACAATCCTAGTGTTATTGTATCTATGCGCTTGTTCTGATATTTGTCTCGGGAACGTTTATGCTTGTATTATTTAGGTTTTTGGTTCAGTTGAGTTGAGTGCACCGGTCAAAGACTTGAGAGAAAGAGGAACATTACAAATCTCAATGGCCCCTATCAGCCTAAATGAAACGGGCCACTCAAGACATTTATAGTGTAACTAAGCCTATACAGAGAAATGAACAATAGAGCATACCAAACTAACAAAAATCTGACTAGGAAACCTGCAGTGTCCCGTTCGCTTAAAACCACAACCAATTAATTGAGCTGACTAATAAAACGTGATAGAACCAAGAGTACATGTCGAAATCTAACAAAAATTATGAAGACATGTCTTAAAATCAGCATGAACTGCACAAATATGTTTATTTTTAAAATCTTAGGTTTAAGTATCCTTTTGAATATTTCACTCCTCGATCCCATCTATTCCGTTGAGACTATAACCTTTGATTGACTATTTTACCATAATTGTTTTGCCTCTCGGATTTTATGCGGTTCGTTTCTCCTTACTACATGGGCACGAAATGTGACTTGAGACGATGCAAACTTGCGGTAGGTTATATGTTGCTCATGACTGGCTATTATTATTATTTGAACACATAAACCTCGGTACAACGGTGAAACAAACACGTATGCGCTATACAATAACAATGAAGCCAGTGGTAGTTATCATTAGTTTGTGTGAGGGCTGTGATACTGCACGGGTGCCCAAACCGAAACACGAAGTTGTGACCAGATATTAATACTCTATGAATTTTCATTGGGTGCGTTTTCACAGCGAATCCATATGGTTTAGCAGAAACCGTTGTTTCTACCCTTTCTAAATTAATGAAGTGAGCTACACTTATGGGGTATTTTCTGATTTTCGGTACTAGTACAATTCCAGTGACGTCTGCCCCCGAATGCCCTAGTACGGCCGAGAGTGGGGTGAGTCCGCTCTCCCTCTCGAAATACTCTCATACGGCCGCGCGTATACAGCCTCTGCCAGGGAAGTCCTACTCATTGCCTTCTCGTGGCGGGGGTGTTGTTTACGAAAATGAGAGGACGAAAAGCGAACGTCCGGCGCTTTAACCGGATCACAAACCAATGGTGCACATGGGCTCCAGTATCCTGAGGGAACAAATGGCGTGTGAACCAATCGTTGGTCACCGGCTACCATGGGATTGCATCTCCTTACGATGCTCCACTGCCTTGTGGGTTAGACCATTAGGTGAAAGGCTCGGGGTGTGGCCCCCTAAGATAACCACCTGCTTCGGTTTGGGCACTCGGGCAGTATCACAGCCCACACACGAATGATGAACTTTTCATGTCTATGGAAATTACTTTTCTCGCTTCGAAAAACAATAAATTGATTCAAGGTCTATTGCACTAATGGATTCTCGTAAACTCATCCTATCAGGCTCTGAACACGATGAAGAGAGAAAGCAAATCAGATCTAGTTTAACCAGAAGTTCGCTAGAGGATCATGAACAATGGCAAGCAACCAAAGCAAAAGAAATGGAAAGGACAGTGGCTGTAGGTAACACTAGAAAGCTTTTCAGACTAATAAAAGAAACTGGAATTAGGAAGTCAAGTGTAAGTGAAGCGATCTCGGAAAAAGACGACACTCTTATCTGCTCTCAGTCTAGACGTTTAGAACGATGAACGGAACACTTTGAGGAGCAGTTCGGCTGGCCTTCAGCTACTCTATAGCTACCCACCATTTCAACAGTCTGAATAGAACATTGAAATAGGTCCCCCGACTGTAATTGAAGTGTTTGGGCACAGAGATGATAATTCAATTGGTGTCACCATCTTGAAACACCGACTTCGGTGGCTTGGACATGTTCTACGAATGTCGTCCCAGAGAATTCCACGTCGTGCATTATTTGCCGACTCTGGGACTGGTTGGAAAAAGCGGAGAGGTGGTCAGTGCATGACATGGTGTCGTGGTATGAAAGAACGCTGCAAAAAACTGGCTTCTGTCGGTCCTTCACGACTCCCTGGTTGGGGTCTGAGAGACGGTGCTACACAGTGGCTAGAGACGTTATCAGATATGGCTCAGAATAGAAGCCAGTGGCGATCCTGCTGTAACCTTCTTTTACTTTCTTCATAAAAAGTGGTTGTGTCTCTCTTACCTGAAAGATTTCTTCTGATTGTACCTTTCCGTCCCCTCGTTACTACCACACTACCTTACACCAATCTCTTCGTTATCGCTCTCTCTTTTGCGCTCCTTAGTTTTTTTTTCTATCTCCGAATTTTCATTGTTTTGTGTGGCGCATATATATTGGCGCTCTCTTGTACCAATATTTATGTGTTCAAATAAATAAATAAAATAGTGACGTCTACTTGGTGAGACTCACAATAAAGATAGTCCTCTTCAAGAGATTTTGTAGAACCGTGCTTATGGTTTCACTCAGACATATATATGGAGTTTCAACGAAAGTGAGGCGGAAAAAACGAACATCCGGAACTTAACCCGAATTGTTAAATACAGGGGGTCCACCTATATATATATATATATATATATATATATCCCTAGTATCAGTATACAGAGGAAATAGGATAGTTTGTTCCGGCTCTCTGCCAACAAAATCCAAACGTCTAACATCAGAATTTTCTCACAAAAAAAAACTAACGGAGTGCATGCGAAATAGAAAACAAAGTACTCACGTATATGTTTCGAAGCAAGTTCCTGCAGAACACAGTAGACTAGGAACGCACCTTTGGATACTAAGCGATATGCTTTATCTGATTTTCCCATTTTCACTTCTCTGATAAGTACACTGAGGACAAGATCAACACCCTTTGATTCCACAAATACATTAATTCCTGGCACATAACCTCGTATGGTACCTGTGTGTGATAAATCAGAAACTGGGTATGAATGTCCAAGATAAAGGTATACAAAGAACATCACAAGCCGTATGTGACATAGTGGACTCAATTCGGGAACCACTAAAAAACTATTTAGCATGTTAAACTTCTGATTGAGTTTTCAAACAACGTTCATTACCTCAAAAAATATTAGGACTGCCTATTTATTGATCACACATTGAAACAAATCCACTGTCGTTGAGTTTGTTAATCACTTGGATATTAAACACGAGATCATCTAGCCTTCGATTTTCATACTTAACCATAGGTTCATCTCAAGTTTCAGTAGGAGTAAATGTACCACTAAAGATTGTTAATTATCAAATACGATTTAAAAAATTCAGTATAGTAAGTGATGAGGGCAGATTATACAATTCCAGCCTGTTAGTGCCTATATTAATACTCAAGTATATTTATCTTCGCTATCTTTATGATTTATACCAAAAATCGTACGACTCCCTTGCTGCTTGTTATGTTATGTATATTAAATGTGGGAGCTCTGCCTAGTTCAAACTTTTATCAGCCAAATAAACATTAAAATACATTGATTGTTGAAAAATACTCACAGGATATGGCTAGTAACAAATGTCTCAGGAATTCAAGATCTGTCTCTTCCTCAAATAGCATAATTAGTCGAGCCAGTACGCCGTTTTCAGTGTACAAACTTTGAGCTCGAGGATTGTTTTGAGTGATATTCGCTAATAGTTTCAATCCATCTATTCTTAAGGAAGGTGGTCCGCAAAATAATAGTTTGAGTAGTACATCTTGACCTCCAACAATCAAAAAGTCGTTCGACAAGTCCAAATCTTCAGTCAGTGTTAACAAATCTTCAATGACATTCTTCATTTCATTTAAATCGGGCTCCGACGATGACAAATGTGATGATAACGTTTGGACATCGTTAGTCAGCTGTTTACTTAAGTCGACAGTTGATGCACTTAGTGCTTTATTCAACCATTCGGCATCCTATTTTTTGAAATCAGCTACTTAAAAGTAGGATTACCTTTGGGTCCATGGGTTTTGTGGCGGCATTTTCAGAATGTTCAACGGCAAGGCGAAGAAGACCTTGAAGGTTCCGAGCCATGAGAGGACTGATAATACTTCGTGATTGAAAAAAAAACACGGATTAACTTGTTAGAGCACATTTATAGGGCTAATAAAATAGCCGGAAATTTTGTTTATTTGTGTAATTAAATCATATAATGTCTAGACATTTATCTGACGTTAACAACCCATAAGTGCAAATTAAAAAACGCTATCTTCACTGGTGAATCGAGAAATTATAAAGGTAGATTATATCTAATAGAGCTTAAACGGAAAATGGAAATATTAGAAATATTTGGGGTTATGCTGAATTGTTTTTACACAGAGTGCATACGCACAGGTTATTTGGGAATAGAAACAAGAGGTTTACGACTACCAAAAAATGGAAATGATAAATCCAAGGAAGTAATAAAAATCTTCAGAATAAGGAGTTATTTGCTTCACTTGTATATATTTTGAACCACGTCACCCGGTTTAAAACAACTTCAGGAAAGCATGCCATTTTATAGCAGAAGTTCGTCAGGTGACTTTCTACACTAATAGAAATTCTTAATCTGTTTAGTATAGACACTTTCTAAATTCCACCTACCTAAACATTTAACAATACATCGGCAAGTGCAAAACATATTCAGTTAAAAGCTTTACGTGGCGTAATTTCTTGACATAGTAATTTGCATTCAGCACGGATACTTGACATTCTGTCATTATGTTGCCGGTTTGAACTATTTACTTTAATTACGGTTGTTTCAGCAATGTTCAGATAAGATCTATGACTCGAAGGAAAATACATAGACGTATAGTTAATAAACAAACTACATTAATTTAATATGCCATGTTGACAATAATGAAGTTGCATTTCTATTGTTTTTTTTAAAATCATGAATTGTGTTACTACTGCCTCTTAATTCTCGTTTATTTCGAAGTCTCTACAATGATTAAACTCCTGCTGTAGTTGAAATTGATTCAATTCTCATTCCGTCAATTTCATTTCACACTATGCTGATATGTAATACAGCAAGTTTGGCCGACATATATTCGTGTCAGGTCCTATGTAAGTGCCAACCAACCACATCGAGAGTACTTGTGATCGAGTATATAAAATCTTTGTTTCCCAGTTTTAATGGTCTAATATCTGCGAGGTTGGGGCAGATTGTCACTCAATATCCCTGATCTTCAGTAGAAATAAATATTTTCTTTAAATTATATAGAGTTCCGAGTGGCAGTGTCAAAAATGGGATATCTCTACTGATACGTGAACATTCAATACATCTAACTGCATAAAAATGGAACGACCACAATTAACTAGTTTAATTAATTTTGTCAAGATAAAGAGTTTCAAAGAGTTAAACGGAAATAAAGTAAGTGTATTAACAACCACTTAACATAGTTTCTTCATAAGATAACTCACCCTAAAAGCGATTATACCGCTTAGGAAGTGCCAAACATATTGTTTCCATTGCGATAATAACCGCTTTTTATACTGTAGTTAGTAAAATTTAACATAAATCAATTTGTCTCGTACAGGTTTACACAAGTATTGTAGTTTGTAGTACTGTAATCGCCTTAACGAGAAACAGTGCAACCTCATGGTAAACGTAACAATTCGTGCGATCGAAATGTGGCATGAAATATCACAAAGCCATATGTTTAACATATTATTTTATTCCATGTAACTGCTGACGATATTTCCAAGATTGCAAGAGTTGATAAATTGACCCGATCTACCGACCCTATGGAAAATTCTGTCAGTTTCAGGGAAGTCGCAACGGAACATTTTGGTCAAGTGCATTAAAAAAACCCAAAATTTCCAAGATTTTGAGGAATATATGAACTTTAACACGACTGAGGAAAATCCCTGAATTTCCCAAAATTCGGGAGATCGGGAAGGCTATAGTTCGATAACAATGTTATCTAGCTGCAGTGAATAGAAGTCAATGAGGAATTCATTATTACTACTGAAAACCGTGATTACAGGGGATATTTTAAAGCAGAAAACCTGCACACTATTGACAACGTACTAACCTTGAGGCACCGAATGGTGACTAGGACAGTTATATGTTCAATGTTCAGGGTGTTGGTGACGAGATGCCTTAATTAACTTTCTTACACTTTAGTCCTGATGTAGAAATACAGCTTGTGTCGTTGAGCTTCACGAGGATCGATGAACTGTTCGACAATAAGTGGCCTGACCGCCGGATTATTTGGCCCTACAAGGTCCTGTGAAATGTCACTGAGCCCTAGCCAAATCATCCGTCAGTTTGATGATTGAATATCGGACAAATCATCGATCTTCGTCAAGGTCAAGGACAACCAACGCGCATCAGTTAATAGTACGCCATGGACTGACCCATGTAGGGGTGGCCTTTCGCTTAAATCTACTTTAATATATTTCTGTAATAACATCCTCTGTGTTGTACAGTCTTCAAAGCATCTATAGTACCTTGATACGTCAGTGAGGTAGTCTACGTAAGGTGCTGACCACGAGGTGCGACTTCGACGATAGCCGGTTCGTCACACTATTCCCGTCTAACTCAAGTAGGCCTCCAATCATTTGACATAGATCATCTACGTTGTTGATCTACACCCGTACAACAGTTAGGAAAAATAGCCTTAGTTGTACAAACCAACAGTTTTTTTACATTAAGCAAAGAATGAAATGCAGTGACAGAGTTCTTCTATTACTGTTTCACGAGAATTCATATATTAGCTTGATCAGATATCAGGTAGTACACTCATGGTCGAAGCAGACAGTTTCACGCCCTATAAAAACGAATGCCGTACAAGACAAGAGAATTCGTCTGTAGACTAAGAGACGGAGTGGAAATAAATAGGACACTATCTTGATTGAAATCGATTGACATCCTTCATTCTTCGGGAATAAGGATAGAATGAAGGAGGACTTGTGTTAATTCTTACAGTTCTTTTCTAGTGAAGGTCCAGCTTCCTCTTGAAAGTATTCCCTGATGGGATTATACCACTTCTTCGGGTAAGGTACTTTAGTCATTGACCACTAGATGAGAAAAACGGGACCCCACTCTGGGCATATTATATCTCGGTTTTCGAACCTTTTTGTTATGTTCTCGAAGATCATTAGTGCTGTAAAGTGCAAAACGATGAGACATATTAACACCTAAATTGTAGTTAAAGATACGGAATGCCAATATAAGGTCACTTCTCAAAATAAGACACTACAAGCTGAACACGCTAAAGTGCGTTAGTATCCTTAATAAAACATAGGCCAGCTGCTTGGATGTCGTACTCTAAATGTGGTCTTACTTAGGTGGCATATAAAATTCGAAACAACTATTCAAAGCACCTGAATGCTCGGCAAAGTAACTATAACGCACGGAAACCTATTTGTCGGTTTTTAAGTTGCAATGTATAATTGTGTTCAAGTTGTAACTTATTATTACCCCTAAATCTTTATGCTCCGGCACTCATGGAAGAGATGTACCGCCGATAGTGCACAGATAACTGTTACCTTGTCCGATGTGCATGAGCTTATTTTTTCTAGAATTAATTTCTAAACAACAACATTGGGACTATCTAACTAATTAGTCTATGTCAGCTTGAAGTTCAGGATGGACAGTCTCATTTCTTATTGCTGTTCAAATTTTTAAGTCATCCGCAAACAGTAGTGTCGACGACCTAAAAAATCGCGGCAATTCATCGGCACAGAGAAGGAATAGTGGCGGGCCTAGGATGGTGCCCTAGGATACTCCAATTCTGACCAGCTTTTATTCAGATAGCGTCCCGTTAACCCTCACTCTCTGTCTACGGCCATACGAGGGGTTTACTATCCACTCCTTTGCAGAACCTGTTATTTCAAAGCTTCTGAATAAAACTGAGGTGAGAAACATTTTCAAACGCTTTGCTAAAATCTGTGCATATCACATCGACAGACAGATCATTATTTAGTGCTTCTCCCCAATAATAGGTTGGTTAGGCAGGAATACTTGTTTCGAACTCCGTGTTGCTAGGATGTCAATAGATTATATGACTATGTGTGACGCAACAACTCAACACGAATTATCTTTTTAGGCAACCTAACTATTATGGTGGTTAGGCTGACAGGTTGGTAGATGGACACGATCAGTCTCTAACCGTCTTTACTTATAAGGTTAACTATAGCATCTTTCCAATCCCTAGGGTGTTGGGCATGAAAAAGGGGCCTGTTGAAGAGAGTCCTGAGTGACCTTGAAATACTGTTTGCGAGAGATGACAGAAACTGTGGGGTAACCCTGTAGAATTACAGTCTATTTCGTTATTGGTACTGCTGTAATAATAGACCTACTTTCACGTCGAGGTTTTTAGTTTTATTTTTCTAGGATTCTCGCAGAGCTGGATGAATTATTTTTCTTTGGATTAATGGAAGTTAACTCAATTCTCAACTATTAACATATAAACTGTGAATTCCATGCCATATGATAAGCTCTGAGTTTAACTTACGGTATTTATGACCATATTCATACAATAATTCATATTTATATAATTACATATATTCATTTTGACTATGCGATCAAACTATACTCTGTCACTTTGAAACCATATATAAGTATATTTGACGAAGATTTGCATTTCATATCTGCATTCTATTCCTTAAGGAATATATGGTTTTATCGAATTTGAATGCTTTAACCCACGTACTTTATGTATCTACAGGATCTATTCAAACCTCTACCTAATATCAAGAAATATATATAACCGTGTATGTTAAAGGACTGTATTCACTATTTTATGAACTATCATTTAAATCGTATTTGGATACTATAAATAATTTAATTTCCGAAGCTACCTGTCCAATTCGGTGAGTCTGTCATAGTTTTTTTTGACGGTACTTTTTTTCCAAAAAAGCTGTTCCATATATTTGTTCAAGAAGCAACATAATAATCTTAGACGGTAATAATCTTCTAAACTACTTGTCTCTGCACCTCCCAATTTTTACTAATACGGACTTTCAGTTTATATATGTATCACGTACCGTACGTTTTTTGATTGTTTGATACTAATTATCGACATTTCTAAATTACTTTACTATATAAGGCTATCTTTCATGTCATATGTGTTAAAATTTACACAATTTGCTCCTTTATATTCTATTTTGCCTCCACACAGATACTGACATAAATACTTCATCTCCACTACTATCTTCCTGCCGTTGTCATCTTCTGTTTTTAACATCACTAATCCTCACGATACATTGACTCTTGGTTAAAACATAGATTTTGATTTTTAGACTAACTTGAGCCCTCGGAATTGATTTTTTTGCACCCCTTTCTATTTCCACCATTCTGTTCAATCCACTTGCTATACGTCACTTTCTTATCATGTCACAAAATAAAATGAAGACCCCTGCTTCTAGGCGTTCAGCCAAACGTAGGAAAACGACACAATTTAACACCACTACTGACACGATTTCCAACAGTTTCAACAAGACGAGCCAGTCCGTTCATCCGGAAGCAGACAAGCTTTTACCAGTTGTCTCCATTCCAGACATGTTGAAAACTCTGATGGTAAACAGTGATGATAATCGCAACTGCAACCATATGGATGCTATAAAAAAGTTGCAAGTAGACATGAACATTCTCAATCCGCTTAAATATCTCATCAACCCCAACCTTACAGAGACTCCAGATCAAATGAATGACATAAATATTTTACTAGATCGTTTTGCATCAGAGGTATTTGAAAGAATAAGACGATCTAGCAATGCAATTGTGTTTAATATACCGGATACACATGCCCTTAAAAATATCAAATCTAGCCTGCTTAGAGCCAGCAATATGACACACGTACCATGTGTATGCACAAGATTAAAAAGAAGTCATCCTGGTATGCACTCACCTATCTTGTTCAAATTCAACTCATCTGCAGACGCCAGTGAACTTTTAAATTCCTCCAATTCATTGAGACAAAAACAGATTTTCAAGGATATTAAGACTCTTCCGGATAAAACACCATGCCAGCGAAAAGCAGTAAGAGATAACTACAGACCACCAGCGTCAAACTCTCAAACGCATCATAATCCTAATGGTCGTAAAGTTAAGTCCGATTCTAAGAGGACGTCTAGCTTAACAATTTTGCCGCCACCAAAAAACTCTTCTGAATCTCCTAAAGTTCAAATCCCAGAAGAAAGTAATCCCGATGTAGGTGGTGTCCATCCTCTTAAGAATGTTGATTTCGATTCAACCCGAAGTAGTTGTGCTGATGAAGAATGGGATAACACAGTCGAAACCCCTGTTAGTGCAACACCCAGTTACAGTAACTGTGCAACGGATAACAGGAAAACTAATCATAACATTCATATAACTGACCACGCACTTAAAGTTGATATATTCGAACCTCCCAAACCATCGCAAGTATGTTTAACAGTACATAATCCTCTCCAACATATGAAGAAGCTGAAATCAACCACATACCTTGGAAATAAACGTCTTAAACACGTTACCCATACGTCAGGTATAAATAGTTATCTGAATTGTAATTGGCCACTTGGTCAAAACCATAGACCTGATAGCCTTCTTGGTCCGGCTCCCAATATGTACACTATGCCCTTATCAGATGTTATATCCAATAGCAATGAGAAGACATTTTTTGTAATTCCGCTGGCTTTCCTGCCGGCAACGGTAAACATATTTCACATGATGACAAAGTGGTTGAATCTATTTCCCCTCGCAACACGACTCTTACCTTAGCTAATCCTATGAGTATTCATGGAACTACCAATTTCGATTTATACTCTAACCTGCTTCACTATGATGACTCTGAGTTTCTTATTCTGTCGTTCAATGCCCGCTCTCTGTCTAAGAAAATTATTCATCTTAAAACTCTTTTATTCCTTGTAAATCCAACCATTGTACTTATTACGGAAACGTGGTGTAATTCATCTATATCCGATCATTCCTTGAATGTAGATAACTACGTTTTCTTTAGAACCGATAGATGTTATGGAATAGGAGGCGGTACAATTATCTGTGTCCGTTCAGACATTCAAGCGTGCAAATTTGAGGATAAATCCCTTGATGCTATAGAAGACTCCACTT